GGTGATAGCCTTTGAATTGGATGAAGAGTGCAACCCTTATCATGTTCTCAGGTTGTCGGCAACCATGATTTCGTAGGGTTTTGCATTGGTAGTAGGTTTTTCTGTGAAAGGAATTATGCATGGTGAGATTTTCGCATTGTTGTGCTCGGTTGGTGTTGAGAGGGACGTCATTTAGGTCCCTGTAAGGCGATGGAATAAGGTGAATATCTTTAGGCTCGGGGCGTTGGTGAGTGATTTAATGTCAGTAGGATCGGTGTAATATCGAGAGCAATCTAGGAATTGGTTATAGGCCCAGTGATCATGATTGTTGAGTTCATCTGAGTATTGTACTTTCGATATTGGTGCATTGATGGAAGTCGGGAGGCACAATCAGCTGGTTTGGAGAGGAAACAATTAAAGGATGTTAGGATTATCAGCCATACATCAGAAAAATATCGCGAAATGTTGCATTATAACCCCATTTGCTCACAAGCTGTTATGAGGGGTTGATTAGCTAGGTTGGGAACCAGTTATATTGTCTCAAATCAAAAGTTCTTCCTTAATGTATCAGGTGTTTTGCTTGATGGGGGTACATCTGAATTGTTAAGGATTAGAGGTAAATATGGAATTCCTGGAATTTTCATCTTTGCTCATAGGAGTAGTGGTTAGAATGGCGTGTCAGGGAGTCACGGTTTAATTAAAGGCTTTTGTTGCATCTTATGGAATTGCGATTAGTTGAAATTTTGCAATTGATGTGTTGGGTTGTTTTCAGATAATGGATTAGATTCCTAGTTTTGTAGCTGAGTAGTGATGGTTGTTCTTTATTAGTTAACTTCAGGAAGTGCGAGGATCCATCCGTTGTGAGTATGAGAATTCAGCTTAGAATGGGTTCGATTAATGGAAGGCCATCGTATATCGGGGTTAACTTTTATCAAGGATCCGAAAGGTGGTCGGGGGTATATGTTTTCAGGTATTTGTAAATTCATTCTGGCCCGGTAGGTTTTCGGTTCAGTTTGTGAAGACTGAGTCTTTGTGGGAGCTGTTTTCGATTCGTTTTGTCCGTTTTGGAGTCCGTCATTGTTTAGGGTTTTCAATTTCAGGCATGGCGTTCGGATGCTCATTGACTTAAGGACACGTTAAGATTCATTCTTCATTAAGGCTCGTTATATCTTATATTTTGCATTCGACATCAGTAAGCATGGGCGCTCATCAGAGTGGGGTGACTTCCCAAGTTGCTTTTGGGATTCAGGGAGTCCAGTCATGATTGTTTAGTTCGGTAAAGGAGATCGTAATGAATCATTTCGAGGACGAAATCTAATTTAAGTGGGGGAGGGTTCTAACACCTGAAAAATGAGGAGCAATTTTGGGAATGAATCACTTTTTAAGGATTTGACACGGCGTGTTGGAGGCACTAACACGGTGTGTTCAAATATGAGGAATGGCAAATTTCATTAAGGACAATAAAATTTGTTGCTTCTTGGAACATGATGTGTTGATGGCTAGTAATTAAACCCTAATCTTTCGGGTTTTGCTCCATATTTAAAGCAATGTGGAGTCTAGGGTTTGTTCACCCTTAGCTCCCACTTGCCCTCAAGCCGTGAAAGAAACCTTAATCATCTTTCCCTCCCATTTTTGAAGCTAGTTTGGCTTTTTTGGAGCTAAAGAAGGAAGAAGGTGGAAGAAGGAAGCAAAGATTCATCAAGCAGGCCCCCATTTTTTAAGCTTGATTTTTCTCATTTGTAGTTGTTAGATCTTGGGTTGTGATCCGTTTGCTTCTTATTCTTGAATGTTGGAATGGTTAGATATCATAAAGTTTGCAACATTATGAATCTCCATGTCAAGGTGACCTAGTAGTGTCTTGGATTTGGTCTTTAATTTAGTTTTGATGTCATGCATAAAGATTAGGTCATAAATCCTTACTTTGACATAATATGGGTTGACATAATATGGGTTCAAGTCATAAAGATTAGGTCATAAATCATGTTATGCATGTTATTGTGCTTTAGTGATGTGTTAGATCGGTATCCTAGTATATAGGATGATGCTATGCTTAGTGATCTATAAATCTATTTGACTGGCTGTAGATTGTTATATGATTATCTCTAATATGTTCACATGTTTGGTTGGTGAATGAGACTTCACTACTTTGTGCATAAGCCAACAGGCTGGGGCATACTAACCCGATGGTTGAATGGGCCCGAGGGTATTCCATCCCGATGATGATTGGAGCCATAGTATGTTGGCATTCTGCCACGATGGTTGAGGGCCTACGGTAATCCAACCCGATGGTTGATTGGACCTATAGTATCTTGGCATTCCAAACCGATGGTTGAGGGTCTGGGATATTCCAGCCTGATGGTTGATTGGACCTATATTATGTTTGCATTCCAACCCAATGGTTACGGGTCTGGGGTATTCCAACCTGATCGTTGATTGGACCCATAATATGTTGACATTCCAACCCGATGGTTGAGGGGTCTGGGTACTCCAACCCAATGGTTGATTGGAACCATAGTATGTTGTTTGTTGGTACATGTTATTTGTTTGTATGGTGGTACTTTTGGAGAAACTCACTAAGCTTTGTGCTTACATTTTTGGTTTATGGTTTCAGGTACTTCAGTGGACTGTGGCAAGGCAAAGACATGACCATACCTATTATTGGTTTTACAACTAACTGAATCTTATGACACTCTGATTTTAAATAATGTTTTGAAAGAATGGTTTTGTAACACTTCTATTAGACAAAAGAGTTATTTTGAAAAATTTATAATTTGTTGAATTTTTAAAATGTTACAGATAAATATAAATATTTACTAGGAGGATATTTAACCTCTCGGATAGGATATTCTCCAATAACTTTATATATCTAATGTTTTGCTTATCCATCCACCACTTGATAAATTGACATAATTATGGGAAGAAGAAAGGATCATTAAATGTATATTCAACACCAATGAAATTATCATTCTTACGAAGTAAATCTTCTTCAACTTGGTTTAAGGTTTTCATGTTTATGTCTAAATTTCATCTTGGATTTTTCGCCTTTAATTTCCTTAGCTAACATTTACTTTTTCAATGTACGAGCATCCACATATAAGATTAACATATTATAATGATTTCTAACTAATACATGAATGGTTATTCACTAGATTGGTCATAACCAATTCAAATAATAACATCATATACACTTCAAAAGCTACTTATATGTGGGAGTGATACATCTTTATATATATATTCTTGGATCCGCGCATATTAGTTCCTTGCCAATCGTATACGTTGTACGCTAGCTATGAACATTCTGCAAAAAGAAAACATTATGTCAGAACCAATGAATGCAACATTCGACAATACTAAGATTAACACGGGACATGCCGCATGTGTTATAAAACAACTATGTGTTACCCTTAATAACATATGATAAAGTAATGGATTATATGTTGGAATGAAGGTTTCATAGGTTGAATGGTAAATTAGTAATTAAAAGATGCGTACTCCCATGGAAAGTCTCGTGCAAGTAACCAATGTCCATCTTTGTGTTGATATACGAGCGTGTAACTTGCACCATCTTCATGAATTTCAACATCTATATCCATCCACAATTTAAATACATAAATTTAGCTCAATTTTTAAATACAAATAACCAAAAACATGAAGACTTTGTTTACCATTGTTTTCTATTTTACTTTTATGTTACATTGCATCATCAATACATTCATGTCATTGTAAGACCTGATTTAGATCTAACATTTTACATACCTAATCGTAAGTAATGCAATAAAGATTATCACATTGCCATAGTAAGCCACTTAACCTCTCAAATACTTATTAAGTTTAGTTACATCAGCTTTTGCACTCACTTTTATTCAACAAAAAATGTGTTATAAACATTCTCAAAATGTTAACATTTTAATTTTTTTTATTAAATAACTAACTACATTTTATAATAAATATTTTATAAAGCCTACTCGTATTCCTACAAAAAATTTCCTTCTTATTTGATGTTTGATTCTTTATATATATATATATATATATATATATATATATATATATATATATATATATATATATATATATATATAATATATATATATATATATATATATATAACAATGGCACAATGAGATGGATAACGATTAATTTGGGTGATTGATTCCGAGAAGGTGATTAGTTATTTTGGTGGACGTCAAATGGTTTATTTTCGATGAGTAGTTTCATTTAGTTTTATAAGCTTATATTATTTTAATTTAAAAAAAAAAATTATTAACATTTTTCTAACAATAATTATTATAACTTTTATTAGACAAAACTACTACAAAACTGGTTGTCATGGTTTATGAAAAACTATAAAGAAGATGTAAAAAAATTTCGACTTGCATGAAATATCGAAAATCTAACAAATTTTCTTGGTTTTAGTCATAAAAAACAACAAATTAATGATTGTTTTGCACTTTTAATTTTAAATTTTAAATTATTTTTTTTTGCATTTTATTATTTATTTTAGTATTTAAATAATTATAAAATGCTATCTTTTCACAAATTTATTATCATTTATACATTCATTTACATAAGTTTTGAAATATTTATGATATATATATATATATATATATATATATATATATTATATATATATATATATATATATATATATATATATATAATATATATATATATATATATATAGTTTATCTACACCAGATTTTATCCTAGACAGCATCAAATAAAACATAAGCACAGGGTCTTACATTTGTCAAACATGTGGAGCAATGTGTTGGTGAGCATTTGATACGAATGAAAAGCATTCAAATCGATTTTCCTTGCAATTCCAACTCCATCCATCTTCACCTTCACAAACAACGACTCATTGTAGTTGTTAGTCATCACATGGATATTGTCACCTTCTTCTTCATCATCCACCCTTCCATTAAACCCTACACCTTCAATGAACCTTCGCCTCCATGAATTCAATGGTGGCCATCCAGTTAAACCTTCTCCTTCACCATCCATATCTCTACACCCACAATATAATTCTTGTTAGTTAATGACAAAAAAAAAACTATTATTATGCGTTGTGTTGTGGCTACAACAAGGAAAGATATGGACTTTAGGGCCTCCTTTTTTATTGAATAAAAGCTCATTGATAACAGTTTGGATCAAGGATTACACTTACTGTTGGTGATCGTCGTTGACGGAATTTTTGTTGGGTTCATCTTCTTCTTCATGATTCCATGAAACCAGAGGATATCTTGTCGTGGTGTTGCCAACATGGCAGGTTTTCTTCATTGGTTGTCTCCTTTGATTGGGAGGTGAAAGACTTAGCTCAAGTTCCATTGTGTTTGTGTGTGTGAGAGAGAGATCTTTGTGTGTTTCGTAGTTTCTTTTGTTTAGAATTTTCCAAGTATTTATAAAGCTTCCAAGTAGTTCACTAGTGCGATAGATGGTGGGGAAAGGACATCAAGAGGAGCAAGTGGGAAAAACTAAAACGAAAAACACTTGTAACTGTAGCATTGTGGCTTGTAATTTCTCCCAACATAAATTGATCTATCAGTCTCCATTTAATTACATAGATTAACTTTGGTATTTTTTTATATAAATAAATATGGTCTGTAGCATGACAAACATCTTTTTTATGCATAATTAAGGTAAATATATATTAAAAAAAAAAAAAAAAAAAAAAAAAAAAAAAAAAAAAAAAAAAAAAGAGAGAAGTTTACATCATAATTTGATTTCTGTACAACTTTAATTTGTTATAATTTTGAATATTTAACCGGTCAACCTGATTATCTGCTAACACGTTAATTTTGACAACATGACATGTTTACGTAACATACTTGACTTGACAAAATTGAAAAAAATTGTCACAACATACATTAAATTTTAACTTTTTTTAATTTTGACATTCAAATTTTTTGTTCAAAATTACTCATTATTTTTCAAATTTTGTTCAATTTTGATGACATTATGTTTGTTCTAAATCGTACATCATTTTTTTGTTACCTTAAAACCGTATAAATATTTTTTTTAATTTAAAACTGTATAAATAATTTTTTAATTAAAAATGATATTTTTTGTATAAAAACAAAGTTTTTTTTTTTACATTCGGACCATAATGTTATTATAAATATGTATTCATTATATTTTAACCGTATTTTAAAAAAATATACATATTTTTTGATTTTTTGGAAAAAACTATAATATCTTAAAATTTAAAGATTTAGTATGTTTAAATTATTAAATAAAATATAATTGATCTTGAAACAAAAACTAACTTTGGGAAAATTGTTCATGTAAAAATGATTTGTATTGGTTATTTATTTAAATGAAATATAAAAGATTCACTAAATAATAAACGTCATATTAAGTTAAAAAGTGTAGTTAGACAATAGATAAAATAATCCATTTAAGATACATCAACTTTAAAATAACAAATTAAATATATATTAATTATACTATAGCTGGATTTTTCATATATTGTTAGGATTTTTTAATTTTTTTCCAACAAATCAAGAAGTGTATTCGGAAGAACCAAACTAAATGTGGTTTTTAAATGAAAAAAATATATTTATATGGTTTCAAATGTAAAAAATAAATATTACTTATATGATTTTAAGTGAAAAATAGTCAGAATTGAAAAAAATTTGTAAAAATATAATGTTCTATTTGGAACAAAAAAAAAATAAAGTGTCAAAATTTGAAGAAAAAAAAATTAAAATTAAAATTTTGTGTCAAAAATGAGAAAAATGAAAATTTAGTGTATTTTGTGTAAACTATTTTATTTTGACACATCAACATGTTATGTCATCAAAACTGAGATATTATCATGCAGCAGATAACTGGTTGATTGATCAAGTAGTCAGAATTTTAACATTTTGGAAACATTTTGTCCAATTTATTATTATTATTATTATTCTTTTTTAAAAATCAAACTTTCTAATGAGGGTTTCGAGCTAGCTTTCGTGCACCGACTAATCATTCACTGCAAACATTAGATATTGCCTTATGTCATGGAGTCATTGTATGCGAACAACCATGACCACAAGGATTGAGTAATGTCTGCATTTTAATATGAGTCAATATGTTATAAATTATATCTTTAACGTGTCTTGCAAAGTCACCGAACCCAAGTGGTTGTGTCTAATTTTAGATAATAAAAAATAATGTAATATCAAAATCGAATTTTCATATAAACTTAATAACATTATGGTATTTACTGTTAATTGTATTGTATACGTCTTAAGAGAAAGAAAATAAAACGAAAACAAATTAAGGTGAAAAAAAATGTTATTTACTTCAAAATTTATCTTATTAGTTGAACGAAAATAATGTAACCGATATGATATTAAAAATCTTAATTGGTAACTACAGGTTACAATATTAAAATATTTCTATTCTAATAAAAGAATAATTTTATTCTTTTTTTAATATCTGTCATCTAATTATGCTTTCTAATTAATGCATATTTTATTATAATTTTATTATGTGTCTCCATATTATGCTTTCTAATTAATGTTTGCTACTTGTCAACTTATTCATTCTTCATTTTAAATTTTAAATTTTGAACCTGTCATTCTAATTATATTAAATTAGTAACAATATGATAAAAATTAAATAAAATTAATACAAATTATAAAGTGATATAACTTCATATATTTATTTAAAACACTGATTTTAATTTTATATAACTTAAAAATCTCTTAATTAATATTTTATTTAAAATAATTGATTAATAATTAAAGTTTTTATTATAAAAGTTTAATTAATTTTATAATTATGATTTCTATAAATTATAAACCAGCATAAAAATAAAAATAAAAAATGATAATATTGGTAGGTGATATGAATATGGAAGGTGGATAACATTGAAGGCAAAGGTCGGGAAAAGGGGTGACTTATGCTTTGGTTCGGAGGACCAACCCCCCATAACATGTCATTTTCTCTACCTATCTTTGGATATGATCCTATTCTCCTCCTTTTTTTATATTTTTTTATCCAAATGTAATATATTTTATTTCTATAATGGTCGTCTATAGTTATTAAGATAATTTTTACTTTAAACATTGTCATTTACAATGGCACGATTCCTATGAGAACGATGTCCTAATTTTATGTTTGACTTTAGTCAACCGTTTTATAAGTGGTTAATATTGTATCGTTGTCACATATTCAAATACAATCGTGACTTGAATATTTATATGTTAAATCTTGACTTGAAAGAAATATTATTCATTTTACGAGTATTTTTCTTTGATAAGTATAATTATAATCATGATGGAAAACATTACATATAATTTATTATGTATGTTACTATATGTATCATTTTTCATTCACAGATACAATCAAATACACACTCACACAAGAGAAACAGGAGGAGGGATGGGATGATGCGTATAAAATAAGCATTTGTTATATGTTAGTTCATCTCAGTTCCCTTTATATATACTATTAAAATTTGATATCGTTATAATAGATGTCATTTATTTCCTCAATTTCATTTAATGCTGTAAATAGTTTTTTTTTTTTTTTTTTTGAACGGCAAATCTATTCTACTCCTACACTGCTCCTAATTCTCCACCTATATCCCTCATGAGACTTGAACCCTTGACCTCAAGGAGGGAAGGCAACACCGGATAGCGCTGGGCTAGAAGCCCTTTTTACTGTAAATAGTTTGAGGGTGGTATGAGGCTATAGAGTTTACACATTAAGTTTATGAGCCATGACGAGTTATTGTTGATTTCAAAGCATTATTTAAGGTGATATATATATATATATATATATATATATATATATATATATATATATATATATATATATATAGTTGGATTAGTGTCTAAGTCAATAACTATTTTGGTATGTACTTGACCCGATGGTGCATGGTCCTTTTGGGTTGCCTTCACCAAAGCAACTTCATAGGATGAATTATGGAGAGAAAGGATTAAATATGATTTATTAATATATTATAGGAATAATATATTAAAGGAGAAATCATATTGTTTAATTAATATTAGTCAATAATTAATTGGTAATTAGTTTTGTAACTAAAAGAGATTAATTAAACTTAAGGGACTGGAATTGTAATTATAAGATAATTATAATTTGGGCCATGGATTGCCTTATATTAACGGATGGACGAATTCTAATGGGAAACCCATAAGGAAATCGTCCATGGGCTTAATTAAAGGAGTCTATGGGTTGCTTAGGGCTTAAGCATCCAAATTAGGGTTTCCTTGTTAGATAACCCTAATAGCCCAACTATATAAAGACCCCTTAAGGCTCAAAAACGTGGCTAAGCTTCTTGTAAGGGTTTACACACGTTTTTGGCAGCCTCCAACCTCTCTCCTCTTCATCCTCTTGCTTATGGTGTTTGTGAACCATTAGAGGAGTGACACTTGTGACTCTAAGCCTTCCAAAGTCAATACAAGGAGGAATTGGGATTGTTATTGCTACATAACAATCAAGGTATGATCTTAAACCTAATTACATATTAATATGATTACTTGAATGCTAGAATTAGGGTTTATAGTCTTGGATTCAAAGCATGTACAATAGAGAAACCTAGATCCAAGCATTAGGGTTTGTATGAGCACATAGGATGTCTTATGACTAAAACCCATCAGTGGTATCAGAGCCTTGATTGGTTTCTATTGTATTTATGCATTATATGTTTAAAAAATTCGATTTTTTTGGCTTATGGAGGCTGGACTCGCCGAGTCCATAGCTGAACTCGCCGAGTCCATGCAGACTCGACGAGTCCAGGCTTGACTCGACGAGTCAACTCGTCAAATAATGCTTATCTCGGGATTTCTTACTGTTTTTGCATATGGATAGTTACCTTATCATGTTAGATCAATATAAATCCGATTTTATGATATATATATATATATATATATATATATATATATATATATATATATATATATATATTCTTGATCTAATTAAAGATAATTATCAATTAATAAGATAATTGTTTCCTTATAAGATAATTGATTAATTATTTTGAGTAAATTGATAAATTGTTTTGCAAGAAATCATTAAAAAAATCAAATATGGATAATTATGTAATTAAATGTTAGTATAGATTATTTGTTATTTGATCCTTGTTGTAATGAAAAGTTTCATATTTTGCCCTTTAGGTTTTATAGTTTAAATTTGAACCCAAAAGTTTTGAAGTTTTGAAATTTAAATAGTTAAAACCCTAATGTTTTGAAAAAGGTTTCAAAATTTGCCCTCAAGTTTTGGAATTTAAATTTTGATTAAAAAGTTTAATTTTGATGTATTTTTAAATTCTAACCCTAATGTTTTGAAATGTTTCAAAAACTTGCCCTCAAGTTTTGGAATTTAAAAGTTGATTAAAAGTTAATTAGGAATGTT